CACACACACACACACACACACACACACACACACACACACACACACGCACACAGTTTTTGCTGGAACATCTCTGCATGATGCTGTAGACTGAACAAGCTGTGGCCCCTAAGGCTCCATTTGATTGAGCATTTAACTGGATTATTGCTGCTTATTAAGCATTAATGTGGTGGCAGAGGGAGAAGAGGACATCGTTGTATTTAAACACTCTGCTACGTCCCTATAGGCTATTACACAGTCTTTGTGACTTTGCAGTGCAGATGCTGCTGTATCAATCAAACGAGCCCAGTCCAATTATTTCCCCTTTTTATTGAGTCCAATCATGTCCTGCTCTTGAAATGACTCCTGCAGAGTCCTGAGTAGTGGCTGGAATTTTTAGGCACGGCACGATTTGATTACACTTCAGAGGAATGCAGCGTGATTATGAAACGATTAATGATGCATCCATAATCATACTTCAGACATCATCTTGAGCATAGAATCACCTAAAATAAATAAAATATTTAGCTATGGACTGCAGTATTAAGCAGTTTTCATTTTTATAGTATTATAGGAGCAAATTATCAAAAAAGGAGTTAAAAGACTAAAAACAGTGACACAAGCCTTCTATAATGACAGATATCTGTGCATCACGTTTTCACTATCTTGTTTTTTGTATCATTGTAGCAAGTGGGGATGGCTAATTTCCTATATCTGTATCATTATGACACTGCTGTGACAGTAAGTTTGGCTCCTGAAGAAAAATAAGAAGGCCATGCATAGTTTTAAAGTCTGAAGACACTCAAGACAAATCAGGAGCATCAGTCAGTTGAGTTTGTGACTAAAGCTATTTTATAAAAATTGTTAAGAAGATCTATCTCCCAAAATCCTCTTTATTAGCTGTGAAATCATTTTGTTGTGTACTTGGAGTCTCTAGGAGGCAGAAAGGTTTAATTTAGTCTTGCCCAGTGCTGCATAGATATCTCTATATTGATTTTGATTGATTAATATTTTTCAACTCATTCCGTTGTCTCTATTTTCTATCACGTTTTCTGAACTATTATGTCACAGTTTTTGCAACAAGTGATTCTGGGTCAGACTTTTTTTTTTAATTTGTAAATAAATCTTTTTAATTTTTAAATAAAAATTTTTTGCACAGCTATGTAGTCGTAAACCCCTCTAAGTTCGATTAAACTGGTCTGGAAGGTGGAGGGGACGGGCTGTGAAACGCCTCATTTGGATTTAAAGGGGCAATATTATGTGTTTCTCAGGCATATACTTAAATACTGTACCATAATAAAGTATCTATGTCACCTTTAGCTGTTATTAAAACACTGTTTTTATGTTTAAATAGAAAATAAACTTATCTTCTCATCACGTCCTCTTCTAAACACCTTGAAATTGGACTCTTGTCTCTTTAAGAACCACCTTCCGCTTCTGTCCCGCCCATTTCAGTGTGTGTGNCTGAAAAGAACTTCACGGAGTGAGAACTAGTGTTCAGAGCACAGCAGACAGTTTCAGTTTCACTGAAGGAGTCATGGGCGGGGTATGTGGGGAGGTGCGCGTGCGCTATGATGCAGTTTACTTGGCATCTGAAAATACATTTCCTCAAATATATTTTGAATCTGAAAAAAGCTTCACTGAGTGAGAAGTAGTGGAGCTCAGCAGACAGTTTCACTTTCAGTTTCACTCATTTGCTTTGTTACTGCCGAGAGCCTGCAGGAGTCATGGGAGGGGTGTGGGGTGTGGGATGTGGGGAGGTGTGCTCCGTGATGAGGAAGCTTGGCTTGGAGACACATCCCAGAGGCGTTTCTGGTCCCCACCTGTCGTTTTGCTCCTCTGCATGGCTGCCTAAAAACACTGCAGGATTTCTCAAACATGCATGAATGAGTCAAAGCAAGACTTTGGGCATGTTTTGTATGAGATTATAACATTATAACATGATATAAAACTCAAAAAAGTTGATTTTACATGATATTGCCCATTTAAAGAGACAGCCTCAAAACGAGTTGATCTGAGCTACGCCTCAATAAAGGGGTGAAAGAGGGACTTGTGGAGTTACAATAAGGAGGAATTCAGACAAAAGCTTTGCAGTTCCATTTTATTTAGACCCCAACTGAAGGATTTAAATGTGAAAAAGAAAGATTTAAAGTCATGATATGTCTTTTTTAAAATATCACCCTGTCTCATAATGCCCCTAAAATTAACCATCTGCTATGTTGTCTGAATATGTTGCTGTGTGCTCTATTTATTCTCAGAGAGGATGTGCCCCCTCCCAAGAGTCGTGTTTCAACAGCACGCAGCTTCACCATGGGCAGCCAGCGCTCCTCCCTAGGATCCATGTCACCTTCCAACCTGCACGAGTACGCCCTGAAGACTCAGTACGACAAGATTCCCTCATCGGAGGAGTACGAGAGACCCCCGAGCCAGGCCCCAATGCCCCTGCCCTCCTCGATCAGGATGGGCGGGCCTAACCTCAGCCGCATGGGGGCCATCCCTGTCATGACCCCTGCCCAGAACAGGGACGGCTCAATCGTCTAGCATGTTCTCTTCTCATGAAGGGACTCCAGACACTAGCTAATGAAGGTGGAGCAAGAGGTGGGGTGGGGTTGGGTGGGCTGACACGCCTGACCTGTTGCTCTTTATTATTTACAAATTGGAAGGTCCTCTCCTTCTGAGGGCCTATTGCTCTGCTGTGGGAAGTTGTGCTGGAATCTAAGCACATTAACTTTTTATGAAAGATGAAAACAAAACAAAAAACATATTCATTTAACATCCTGGATGTTTTTTCTCACAGGAAACTGGATTGGTGTGGATATAAAGCAGAGTGGTCAATATGAAATATTGTACATACCTAAATGCATGTTTTGTTTAACATAGTCGGCTCTCGCTGTATATTTCAAACAGATCCAAGCCCCTGATTGGCTGACTGCACAGCTGCATGTTTGCATGTTTGTGTAAAACTGCAGCTGTAAGGTATGTTTAAATGTAAGGWTGTGTGTGTGAACAGAACTTATATAAATTCTCACGTAAAAGTAGAACAATCATCCCGGTAGTCCAATTTATTTGATTTTATTTTTTAAATGTAACAGACTCTTTTGGTTATTTTTTAAACAAGACTGCTTAGAATGAAATTTGGTTTAATACTCTGAGCTAGCTAAAACCAGATTAGCTTCTTTCCGTTGATTCGTTATTGTTTGAAAGGCTTGCTGTGAGTTTAGGTGGGGGATTTAAAGAGTAAGGATTGGCTGATATTGAGGTGGTGGCTCTTGCCGCCATGTATTGTGATTGGAGGGATTAATGCTTGATGCGGGCTTAAAAAGAACCAGCGTCCATCCTCCAACCCCTCTCCAGAAGTCTTAGAAGACCTGGATTGGCCAGTAATAACAGCAGCTGAACAGCAAGGTTCACTGAACACTCAGCTCTGATTGTGTTTGACTGCTTAAAGGCCCCTGACCTCAAAGGCAAGCAGGACAAATAGAATCCCCTCCTCACCAAATCAGCAAACCAAAAGCACTAATTCCTAATTAATCACTGTTCTGTGCATAATATGTGATCCTGCAGATCTGTTGTTGCACTACAAGGAGGCCATACCTTGATTGACCTTTTCTCTGTAGTTGATATCAAATCTTTGGAAGCTTATGTTGCATTAATTGGAGAATTTAATGAAGGATGRTAATCACGGGTGCATGAAGAAAGTTCCCAGAGTGGAACAATGGTAGGCCTTGGAATACTGCTCATTTTTTTTTATTTTTTTTATTTTTTGTGTGTGTAACTGCACTCATGTTTGACCTTCGTTTGTGTTCTCAGGCCTGTTTTATCAGTCATTTTAAATAAACCAGTCTCATGAGATTCAGATTATTTTATACCAAACTCGAACATGTTAGGCTTTAGAAGAATAAGAAGTTTGTTTTATATTTAACTTGTATATTGAGCAGTTAGTTTCTTTTTTTCATTGCGCTGATGCCTTATTTTAGCCTTACACTTCCCCTCAGTTCTCCTCAGATCACTCAGATTTCTGTGCCCTGCCTAAGTGATGTTCATTTCGTTCTGTCGTTGCACAGTTGTTTTCTCTTTGCCTCAGTTGGATCTAGTTGAATTGTTTGCTCGTAGGCCATAGCTAAATTAGGTTTTTAACATTTTGTTTTATATTCTGTTTGCTTTTTACAACTATCACTGTAATAGTAGTAATTAACTTTCTCTCTCTTAGGAAATATGTGGCTCTGAATTTAAAATATCTCTGTCTAAACACAACACTGAATGATTGAATTGTCTGTCCATCTGTATGTGACTCTGCTGTTCCCAGACGTAGTATCTCACTAAGCTGCAACAGTTGTTGACTAATCAAAAACTCAAAATTGCAAGATAATAATTATCTGTTGAGCTTCACTGAATTTGTTGTGTTTGCAAACATCTTTGCACAAAAACTGCTGCTGATTGTTGTGTGAGCAGCTTGTAAAATTGTGTTCTAGGCCTGGCATGGTATTTTTTTTGCCCACCTCCTCTCCTGTCGTACTCGGCTCGCTCTTCCACCCAACTTGGCAGCCGCCCCCATGTTTATGATTTAATCTACTGGAATGGACTTTAAATGAAGATGAGCAGAATTGGATCCAGTGGTTTTTGATTATTGTTTGTGTGGTTGTAGACCTGGACGTATTCTTCCACCAGAGAGGAAATCTGTTGTCTAATCTGTGACTCAACCAAGGAGATTGGAAACTCCTGAAAATGTTGCAAGATGGTTTGGAGACTCGTTGGAGAATGCAAATCACCAGCTAGTCGCAGCCCACTGAGATAGTTCCTTAAGCAGATCAAATGGGGAAAACAGAAGAGGTAGGGTCAGTCAGCACAGTGATGAAGCTTTTTGGTATGTTTGTGTGTGTTTGTACCAGTCTTGGCTTCTAATTATAATTTCATGTTACACTTATTTGGTAAAGCCAAGAAAATTAATATTTAAACTGTCTTGGACCACAAAAACCAATCTGTCAGTTTTATTTTACCACTATCCTGTGAATGTGTGTTTATGTGAGCAGTTGTATTTTACACAAAAGCTTTTGCTCAGAATGGGCCCTTGTAGAAATCTACTTCCTGCTGGTAAAGTGTACAGTTCTCCAGGGGAGGTAGCCTTGTTTCTCTTTCTGTATGCTTTAGAAATGAATATGAACTACTAACAATATTAACAATAGCTTTAAAATTAGCATACTTAAACTGTATAAAGACTCCACTGAGATGCACTCTGTGTGAAAAACAGATTTTCTTTCTGTGTGTATTTTTGTGCTGTATTTTTGAATAATAAAAGTCGTTTAAATTAAAAACTGTGGTCGCCCATGATTACTCATTCGGTTGTTAGCAACTAATTGTTTTAAGCGTGACTAGAACTTAAATCTCTCGTTGCCACAGTGAATTGTTCTCCAAGAACTCAGCCTCCTGCAGCTTTCTGACTGTGATTTATTTTAATCAGCCAGTATTTCCAGCCTTTACAMCAGGTGAGGTGACTTTCTAACCACTTAATGACTGTAATTAATCAATAAGGGGGCAGGAACAATTACTGCCTGCCATCTCCAGTTCTTGCTTTTCAGCTAAGAATAAACTCACAGGTTTGTGACCCAGCTACTTTGATTAAAGCTACCAATCATCTGTTATGCTTTGTCTTAATTACTGCTGCAGATTTAGAAAACTACTAGAAAAGGCCCAGAATGTTTTGAACATTGCCCTCTGCCTTTTATCCCAGAGTTGTAGATTAAGATCATCTTCTGTTGAAAGATGTTTTTTTTTTCCTTTTGATTTTTTACCTGGATTACTGAGATGCATCAGGACATCTTCTGTTGAGTCAAGATATGCATTAGCCTGGTAAAACCCGGCTCCTTGTTCTTCGCTTTGCTTTGTGCAGATGGTCTGGACTCTCCGCTACTGAGAAGTGATTCCTTGCTGGAATCATAGACTCTGTTGAAGTTTAAAATGATTGGATCTGATTTACCCTATCGGTAACATTTGGCTGTGATGTACTGTATGTAGTGCGTCAGCTCAACCATGAAAGAAGCTAAGCTAAGAAGCTAACCAGAAATTGCGTGAGCTGTAAATGAGTGCTGCAGGCTTTATGAGACAAATTATATTTAATTTGGAAGCCTTGTTAACATAGACCGAACAGCTTCATTCATTTCCTCCGCTGCCATTGATAAAGTCAGGCAGACTAAAACAGTGCAGAAAATTGGGGTCAATGTTCACAACTCCCCTTGCTTGGCCTGGTTGAAATTCTACCAGAGAAATCCTTGTGTATGGGAGAAATCCCAGACGGAGCAGAGAAGGGAAACTAGAATTGAGCGKAACTGTGTAGGAAGGCAAGGGCCAGGCTAGTGTTGAGATCAGGATTTTTGTCTTTGGCTCACCTTTGATCTCGCCGAGTTCTTTYGTCTGAAAACCGTTTGAGAAAATTGCACTGGAAGTTAAAAATAGTTTAAAGTTAATTTATTACACACCAGGTATTGAAACAAGACAATCATAATAACAGAGACAGAGCTTTAAGTTTTAAAGAGACACCTTACTGTTAGCAAGATATCTCATGAACTAATGACAGGATCGTACTGAAACTTTCACAAAATTATAAGTGGACTAATACCTTGAACTGATTAACTTTTGGGTTCAATCCTGCTTAAGATAACCATAAAATGAGACTACAAATAAAGAACTACAAAGATGGCCATCAGGAAAATACCCAGTACTATACCAGATATATTTGTTTAGTTGTGGATGTACATCCAAGATTTACTTTCAAGTTTCACTAAAATCTGTCCAGTTGTAAAGAAATCTGTGATCAATAAATGGAAGTCTGAGTAAAATAGCAGAAAACTATTTGATTTTCTTCTAAAAAGTTTTTATTTTCATTTCTACTCTAAYCAGCTCCAGCAGCACACAGAGTAAAAAGGCCTTGGGCCTTATCAGAACATAAACAATAACAAATTATAAGGAGCAGCATCTGTCACAGGCTGCTCTAAGAGACTGCACAGAAATAACAAAATTCAAATGATGAACCAACCTTTTAACGTATGCATCTGACTTCCTGGTCACACCCATTTAACGTCAGACTTCATCAATTTTTGTTCACGGAGACAAAAAGGCCTGATATGATAAATCCCACAGTCTTCATCTCTGTTTAAACCAAATGATTGCAATGACCAGAATTTATAAAATACAAGACTGGATGTAACATTCTGTTATTTAGGCACTAAATTTCCTTCTCAGGGTTTCACAAAATCAATGGCAAACAAACACAGAGCTTTTGGTGGATGGTGATAAAACTATATTGGAGACAGCAGTGCATTGTACAGCATAAACATAATTCACATTGAAAAAGCAAACAAAGCTGAGCCTGGGGACTTTGGGTTGGGCTCTCCGATCTCTGGGGACGAGGTCGCCGAGGTGGTTAAAATTGACGGCAGTAAGTCGGGCTTGTTCCCGGTGAGAGTTGGACTCCGCCAAGGCTGCCCTTTGTCACGGATTCTGTTCATTACTTTCATGGACAGAATTTCTAGGTGCAGCCGAGGTGTTGAGGGGATCCGTTTTGGTGGCCTTAGGATCGCATCTCTGCTTTTTGCGGATGATGTGATCCTGTTGGCTTCATCAGAACGAGATCTGCAGCTCTCACTGGAGCGGTTCACATCCGAGTGTGAAGCGGCCGGGATGAGGC